GTGCCTGCATCACCTGTTCAAACCAACGTGTGTCACATCGGGCACATTACTAATGTCCTGGAAAACATTTGATACTCTACCATTCAAAATTTTGGGGTTGGTAAAAAAAAATTTCTCTTATGCTAACCAATGCTGCATTTATTTGATTAAAAATACAGTACAAACAGTAATGTTGTGAAATATTATTACTATTTAAAGTAACTGTTTTCTATTTTAATATATTTTAAAATATTTCTTCCTGTGATATTACAGCTTAAAGGGTTAGTTCACCCAAAAATTTAAATTAGCCCATAAATTACTCACCCTCAAGTCATCCTAGGTGTATATGACTTTCTTCTTTCAGACGAATCCAGTCAGAGTTATATTAAAAATTGTCTTTGATCTTTCAAGCTCTATCGTTGTCTATCGGGTGTTGCAGTGCTTCGGTTCAAATGACGTGAAATAAAAAGCACCCTTCCACAAAAAAAAAAGTGTCTCACACAGCTCCGGGGGGTGAACAAAGGCCTCCTGTAGCGAATCGATGCATTTTTGTAAGAAAAATATCCATATTCAAAACGTAGTAATAACTTGAATCTAGCTTGCGCCAACAGTTGTCTAATTTAAATTTTTGGGTGAACTAACCCTTTAAAGGTAATATGTGTGTGTTCACCTGAGTGATGTAAATAGTGTCTCTGTATCTCTGCACCGTTAGGGAGAATATAATGTAGTTCTGCTTGCTTTAGCATCTGCTGATTTCCATCTTCATGATGCTGCCGATGAGCTGAAAAATTGCTGCTGAAATCCCAGTCTGAAGACACTGAAACCTGGTTGGAGGGGAGAAGTTGAAAAACAAGAGGGTTAAGTGATGTTTTTGAAGCATGCTTAATTGTTCTGAATGTGCACTTGTAATGTACTTCAAATCTATATTATATTTATATAAAAAATGTGCTTGCAGATAATAAAATAATAATGAAATAAAAGTAAAGAGAGTACACTTTCATTACACTAACTCAGCTTTGGGATCATAACATAAACTAGTTCTAGGTAGTACATACTGCAGCTGTTAAATCTCAAAAAGCAGATGGATTTTGTAGTGTAGTACCTTACTAATTGTGGACAATGAAGGCCAGGACTGGAAGCCATACTCAGAGGCAAAGCGTGTGCGAGGGAAAGCAGTCCAGTCCCAGCAATCCTTGTAATAGCTGTAGTAATGGGTGTCTCCAAAGTGGGGATCATAGGGGTCCTTAGCCACCCAGCCTTCCTTCTCAGACTCAACCCCATTGGTTGGGCTGGACACTAGAAAAGGACGGGTGCTGTCCTCCTGAATTAAAGCACAGCATCCTTTGGTAAAGGCTTAAGATAGTACTTTAATGTTAGTGTGTATGTATCTCAGTCTCACCTGCAGCACGATGTCTCTGATGTTCTCAACATACAGGTTGACATAGTCTTTCACATACAGTGGTCGCTCAGCAACAGGTATGTTGAACCAGTCAGTTGCAATGGCAGCTTCGTTCTCATTGTTCCCACTCCAGATGACCACAGAGGGGTGAGATTTCAACCGTCGAACCTGAACCACAACAAATGTCCATATAATTGTAAACAATAACCGGTGGGTCAATGATGCTCACTTTCTTTCGTCTGGATCTGTAATTTATTCAGAAGATTCATAAAAAAATGCAATTCACACAATGGCTTAAATACACCTCTTCTATGATAAGAATGTTTTTAAATTTTGAATTAAAATTAATTTTGAAATGTTTTCGGTGGCATAAAGTCAAATACGTCTTGCGTTCATAGTGAAGAAATCTTTTATATTATTTCTTACGAAAAAAGCATTCTATTAAAACTGCTTCTGTTAATTATATTTGAAAAACATTTGACCCTTGCAGCAGTTATTAGTATCATTTATATTATCATAGTACTTATTAATATTTTTGATTAGCTTTTATTTTTATATTTTCAGTTTTAACTTTAGATTAAGTTTTAGTAATTTTGTTATGGAGTTTTATGGATTTTTTTTTTTTAGCTTTATATTTAGCTTTCATTTATTTAATTTCAATTTTAGTAATTTTTTCATCAAAGATTTATATTTCATATTTAATATTATATTTTATATATAATATATGTTTCAGTTGTATTTAACAACTATTTTTAATAGTGATCATTCATGATATTTGTACTAAATACTTTATTTTCGATATGGAAAAAATGTTGTATTAAAATATTCACTCACATTAAATTTTAGAATCATTTCATTTAAATTTTTCTTGAAAATGTTTTTCTAAACACTCTAATATGTCATTGACCTTTTATTTGTCATTTATTTGAGGTGAACATAATATATGAGAGTACTATGTATGCAAACCTGCTGTGTGATCTCCTCCCTCACTGTCTGTATAAAATCCTTTTCTGTAGGGTACAACACACAGGCAAACATGAAGTCCTGCCAGATCTGACATAAGAGCAAACAAATAACCAAATCAATCATTTAAAGCATGTCACAGGTGGGGGATGTCATTTAATAAGCTCACCATGATTCCATACATATCACACAGGCTGTAGAAGATGTCTTGCTCATACACTCCACCACCCCACACTCTTAAAGCATTCATATTCGCCTTCTGTGCAGACCGGAGTAGGATCGTGATCCTGCAACGCCAATGCAGAAACATGACAAGATGACTAAAGCTTCAAAGTGATTTCACATTTAACAGAATTCAGTTTGGCCATTGAACTAAGTTGCTTTAAGCTGTAAATCTACTCACATGTCAGTGGTAGCCTGGTCCTGAAAGGCATGAACAGGAAGCCAGTTTGAACCCTTCAGGAAAATTGGTTTCCCATTGATCCGGAAGTAGAAGCTGAGGCCAGGGGATGAGGGTATAGGCTCCTGGACCAACTCCACTGTGCGGAAAGCAACCTGAAACAGAAAACCACAACACAAGAGTGAAATAATGCAGACTGAGAAAAAAATAAAATAAACAGAGAGAAAGATTACCATTCGCTCTGCATTAAATGCCTCTCCATCCTCCAAGTTGACATCTATCGTCAGGTCATATAGAGTCTGCTCTCCATGTCCAAACGGCCACCACAAACTGACACTCTTACAGTGAACACAATATTTATCATCATATATATCAAGGTTATTATTGTTATCTAAAATTAAAACCATAAAACATATTTTAATTACTTGAAATAAAATAAACATTAAGTAAAATAAAATATAAAAGACGTAAAAACTTTATTTCAGCTAGTTGCCAAAGCACCATTTCTCATTTTCATTGTTTAACTTGATTCAAATAACTAAAACTGAAATAAAAATGAATTAAAACAATTAATAACAATTAATTTAAAAAAATAAAAAAAAATTTAAATTACAAAAACAACTAAATTACTAAAACTACCATAAAAACTAAAATTAAAATGAAAACCGAAAATATAGATATAAAAACTATTTTATTTGAAATATTAATTAAAAAACTATATTATCCCCAACTATAATACGATCTCGATACAAAAAAAACAACACCACTGATATACAGTATGTGACATTTCCTTTGAAATTTATGTTAAAATGATACGGAATGGTCTTAATCAAGCAAACTAGAACTGATCTCACCTGATTGAGCTGTAAGACAAAGGACTTTTTACTCTGCCCAGGTGTAAGGGACAGTTGAAATTCTGCCTCTGACTGCAATAATGGTATGGACAGATGGACAAGACCCTTAGATGCGACAAAAATGTCAAAGAACAATTCCACTTCAACATTCCAACTTGAATGTTCAGAGTCTGGATACAGAGAAAGACAGAAAGACATGGAGAGAAACAGGACAAGAATATGGAGGAAAGAGGGATTTGCATATTATGTTGATTTGTTTTGATACTATATTAATGTCTAAAATCCCTTCTCTTTCATATGCAAATATGTGTGTACCAAATCTCGGACTTGTGGTATAACTTAGAACCCTTAAAGTGTTGAAGACTTCCAGACGAACTCCCTTCCAGATGCCCAGAGTGGGAAAAGATGGACCCCAGTCCCAGCTAAATGAGCTTTGAGCCTGAAAACAGCAAGAGACCAAAAACTCAATCAGGAAACCAGTAACAAAAAAGTTTTTAATTATATTATTTAATTAATTAAATATACAGTATATTGGATACATACTTATTTAATGGCAGTACTTCAGCAAAAAAGTGGTATCACCATATACTCTTAATGAACTTTTTGGGTTTGCGAGTGTGACATTGTGTGTACCTTTCTGATAAAGTTAACATGACACTCTCCTTTCTGTACAGGAGGAGGACAATCAGGTGGTACCCTGTATTCAATGTGGGCATGACTCCTCTGAGATGCATATGTCACAGCTGACATAATCCACACTTGGAGAATATTCTCTTCATCCTTCAGCAAATCAGTGACTTCAAAATCCTGAAGAAAAAAAACTTTATGATTTCAACATTCTGGAAAAAAAAAAGTGCTTTTAAGGAAAACCTTTGTTGTTATTACTACTGTTATGCTAGAGTCCATAAACATATAAATAACAATTAAAAAAAAACATGCTTGAACACAGAAGGGTTATATATTTACATATCTGCGGAACATGTTGTCTGTCTTTCCGATGGTGACTCCATTGAGAGAAATTGTAGAGACCGTGTCGACTCCTTCAAACACTAAGACGGCTTTCCCTTTCCCTCTGTAAAGAGCACATAATATTCCATCTGTGGTCCTGTCTAAGTATATAACATGTTTGTTATCATATTATGATAAACCACCACATCCTTGACATTCTAGCTCTAGATGTATGGTACAAATCAGAGGGCAGGCTTAGTTGGACTTGGAGGGTTGCTGACTTACCTAACATGCCTGGGTACTGAGAATGATGTGGTGTAAGTCCAGTTGTCAAGTGAAATCCATCTGTAGGCCAGGTCATTAAACCTATAATATGGATCCTGTTGACACAGAATAAAGTTTTTAGGAACTTTCATTTCACAGAGTTTGGACTGTTAATAATGACTTTAGAATGTCGTGTTGTGGAGTGAGAGGAGTTGATTGGTAAAGATCAAAGATAGGCAGAGCTTAGAGTGGAAGAACTTCCATCAGACTGGCAAGGTCCATTTCAAGACTTTGTAGTGTGGAAAGGCCAGGAGCAGGCTTGCATTCCTGTTTGAGCAGAAATCTGGGATTGTGCCTCCATAAGAGACAGATGGGGAAATATGGTCTTGCAACAGTGTCCAAAACATGAGAGAACAAACAGTGTATAAATGTGTCCAGAAAACATCACATTGCATATTTCTGAGTCCATTCCCGCGCTATTCTGTTGTATCTGCAAAGAGGACAGAAAAATATTAGACATTTGAAATCAAGTGACCCTTCATGCAGCCAAAATGCAGTTCAGTTTCAAACCCTTCTGATGATTTGATGTAATTTCTCCTTCATTAATGATGTACTTCAGATTATCTCTTTTTAAAACATTTTTACTTGAAGATTTAAGGCAAGACACCCCAGATGAATGTAGAAAAAACTAATAGACATCACCATAGTTGATTATATTAAGAAATGCTAACATTTCTTGTATTTCACATTTCTGAAATTTTATATTGAAATATTCAAATTATCTAACTAAATATGCACTTATTTACATACATTTACTGAACAGAACTCTGAACATTGGATAAGGCCAGGTAAATCAGGAAATTTAGCAGCCAGAAAAAAACATATATATCACCATGTTTTTAGGAATAACTACTTGTATGAAATCCCTTAATTGGAATAAAACTGTTTGGTGTATGTAAGTGTTAGTGCATTGCTCAGTGAATGGGACAAAAACTAATACTGAGAAACTGCCTCTAAAGATATGTATAGTAGTTGTAATCTACAGATGCAAATAGATAAAGTGTGATAAACTAAACACTTAAAAGTGTATGGTTTATTCCACTAGTCTGAACACATGAAAAGCCAAATAACCCAAAATCTCAAATGAAAAAAAAAAAATGGTTTGCCTGTAGTATCTTGCCTTAATGTTTACTATATTTCTACTAGCATCCTGATGCTTCTCATGCAGTGCTACAACTAGCTCACACAAACCAAAAATGCTCAGCCATTACGAATTTACTAAAATTTAAAGAATTTACATTACGAACTCTAAAATTTTTCACCTACTTAAAGGGGTCATATGATGCGATTTCAATTTTTCCGTTCTCTTTGAAGTGTTACAAGCTCTTGGTGCATAAAGAAGATCTGTAAAGTTGCAAAGACTAAAGTCTCAAATCCAAAGAGATTCTTTATAAAAGTTAAGAGTCAACCACGCCTACCTAAAACGGCTCGTTCTAACACATGTGGAAAATAATGTTTTTTTTTACCTTAAACCGCATAAACTAATTTCATTACACCAAATACACAAAATAATGTTCTTTTTAGCAACATCATATGACCCCTTTAACAAAAATGTCATGCTGCTGTAAGACTTTATGGCTGATTAAAAGCCATGCTTACTGTAAGGTTGAATACAGGACTAAATAAACCCTAACAAATCACAAGACACTGCTGCGTTTGCGAAAGATAAAAGCATATCTGACTTTTCACTTGAAAGCATTCTGTGCTTTTTCTCAGTCATTTCCGAAGAGACATGATAGCATGTATTAGTGATGCACACCTGCTGTGGCCACACGCTCATGCTGCAACACACCGGAAGCAACAGTTTGCAGTGCTTCACTCTCTCTACAGTACCTCTAATGTTCACAATGCAGAGTTGACTTTCACCTACAGCATGGCATATTTCTCTGTCCATTCCTTTGCCATTCTATTATACCTGATAGAGCATGGTGTGTTAGAAAAAAAGTCCTTGCTGTTCTGACAGCCCTTTCTATTCACAAAAACCTTGTGTCTTAAAATGATGCCCACGACCACATCACTTAGGAAAAAAGGGCTGACATAAGGTGCCCTTATTTATTTATTACATATTTAATTTTTTTTAACAACAGTCAAATGTTATTAAATGAAGGTTTGATGCTGATATTATCTGTCATAAACTGCTGTAATTTGGTGCTGACTGCATTCAAATAAGCTTTTTGGATCAGACTTACAATGTAAATGTAACTGGCTTCTCTAGCAAAAAAAATAAAAAATAAATAATATTAATTTGCTTTCACTTATAAAGCATAAGCAATGATTTTTATGGTCCTGCAAAAAAATCTGAGACTCTCACTAGATTAAAAAATTTGTAGTAAGTTCAAATGAATTATAAGTGGAAGATAACAAAATACAAAAAAGAAAACAAATTTACAAAAATAATGTTAAATATAGCAAATAATGTATAATTTACAAATAATTACATTTATACCAGATGTGCGCAAGTGAAAGCATAATACTTGTGTGCCTCAGGCTGTACTTACTTCTCTGTGTCTGTTTTATAGATTCGGGCAATCTCTGGCACAAGAGGGTCGTCTGGATTGGGGTCACATAAGAGTGAGCAGATGGACAGGAGAACTACAGAGAGGAGCACAATATGGAGACACATTGACATATAGCACAGGGAATTCAATTATACAAAATATCACATTGCTTGTCCAATCAATTAAGTCAACTGGAGCTACCTTATGTATCTATTATAGGTCTAATTTGTTTCAAGTATTAGGACTAATTGTTTCTAAGCATTTTCTAATAAAGAAACACCTATTATTGTGTGTGTACCTTTAGAAATAGTAAGTGCAGGAGACCACTGGGACCTGAGGATATCCAGACAGATGCTGCCATTACTGTTTATGTTGGGATGGTAGATTCTTGTAGTAAATGCAACCTAACACAAAGAAAACAAATGTTATACACACCTACCTACAGGCAAACATGCAAAAAAAAAAAGTGTTTTGTGCTGTTTTTAAAGTTCTTACCTTTGGTGGTTTGAAGGGGTAATCTGTTGGGAAGTGTATGGTTAGGAAAAAAACGCCACCCTGATATGGACTTTCATTCTGTTTTTTTTAAATAAAAAAGGGGGAAAATATCTTTAGTACATTTTACACTACTGTTTCAAATTGTTTGGGGTCAGTAAGATTTTCTTTTCATTTTAATTTAAAGATATTTGTTTTACAGAAATTAATACTTTTATTCAAGGATGCATTAGAATGATAAAAATTGACAGTAAAGACATCAATAATGTTACAAAAAAATCTATTTCAAATAAATGCTGTTCATTTTAACTTTTTTATTCATCAGAGAATCCTTAAACAAGGGTTTCCACAAAAATATTAAGCAGCATAACTGTTTTCAACATTAATAATAACTGGCATATTAGAATGATTTCTGAAGGATCATGTGACACTGAAAATTCAGCTTTGCATCACAGGAATAAATTACATTTCAAATATATTGAAATGCAAAACAGTTGTTTTAAATTGTAATAATATTTCAAAATATTGCTGTTTTTACTGTATTTTTGATCAAATAAATGCAGCCTTTGCGACCATAAAAGACTTCCAAAAACATTTTTAAAAAATGCAACCAACACCAAACGTTTGAACAGTATTGTACATTTTGTGTCAGTATTTTACTATTTAGTAACATGCTTCTACAGCAACGTTTTATTGTACTCACTGGCCCCATGATTGTTGCCTGCCAGTGGAACACTGCAGGAGAGATTGCATGTACAGCATCAGTTTACAGTAAATACGTACGGCCGTAAACACCACACAATACATTTAAAAAGTCTGTAATCTCACCATCATCCCCCACTGGACCTGCTGAGCACTGTGCAGGAGGATCACGTGCCAAATCATTCAATTCCTACAGGGAAGAGTCGGAATGAATTTTATGAAACACAAGCATGCAGAACTACTGAAAAAACACAGACTCTCCATAACGGAGGGTCAGTAATGGCGCTTTGCTCTTTTATCACTATGGTGACAGCAAGATGAAACCAGCAGATAGAATGTGTAGCAACACAGTGTATTTATAGTTCCAGAGGGGTCATGAGGGAGAAGAGCTGGAACACAACCAGCAGGAGCCCACAGGCATGTCCGTCTGCGCTCCCTACTTTAGGAGCACTACGTTTATTTTTATTTCAACATGTCTGTTGAGTGGGGAGACACCTGGGGGTATTTTATGACAGGGGGGTAGAAAACTGGCATCATTCTTGAGCTTTTCCATTGCACAACTACAGACAGGTTGGAACTTCGCAACACACTGATTCAACACTATTACAGTCCCTAAAGGTCAGCTAAAAGATGAGAAGTAAAAATGGATATCGACATCAAAGGTTTAGGAATTATCACATTAATAAGACTTTAAAAATTATCAAGATTTACAAACACTTTTTGTTTCGTTTCATTTCATAAGACTAACTATGGCAAGAATTTACTGTCCACACCACGAGACAAAGTGCCAATACTACAGTAATTATTTTACTTATTAGTAAAATATCGATGTGAGATTGATCATCTATAATCTAAACATCTTATAATACCACGAATGACATCGAGACATAATTATTAGCTGTCAAGACCTATATTTACACTCGTTTACAATGGCACGTTAAAATTGTATACACAGACGGAACGTCTTCATTAACTAGAGGAGAAAAAAAAGACAGGCATATCACAAATGTAAATAATTTATTTAAAAGTAAATATACAATAATAAAAAAAAAATCTCTTAATGTTTTGGATATTGTCACCCATGGCATATTGGAGCCCTTTTGGAACTATATATAACTGATATATATATATATATATATACATAATATATACATAAGTTACATAAAAACGACAGGTTTGATGTCCTTATTAATAAACATACAAAAAATCGTTCGTCGCTTGAATTAGGAATAAGCACTCGCTTTATAAGCAATACGCCGACACGCTGCTAGATAACTAAACATTTAATAATACACTGGTTTATAATATGCCTGACCTAAATCTCGCTCTCTTTCTCAAAATGTGAGCTAATCTGAGAGCTAGCCAGCAGCCTAAATAAAAAGTAACATTAAAAATGTCAGGATGTCAAAAAATATATCTTACATTCAATGTCTAAAAAAATGATATGGCAGCAGGTTGGTGTGAGAGCATTGATATGGCAATCAAAGGTGTGAATACAGACAGGCCCTGACCCTGTCGGTGACTGTAATGCTGATGTGTGTACACTTCTCTTTCAGTTTGTCTGAGCTGACAAATATATTTATTTTTTATTAACACGTAAAAATTACCAAGATGGAGAATGGTAAAGGGATTATACAGAAACATTTTACATACTTGGAAATTAAAGATTTCTTTTTAACTACAGGTAACTGAGATGAAATGTGAAGATAATGGTCATCATGGTACAGTGAAACCTAGACCATGTCAGATTTAAACAGCAACAGGGGAAATTTGTGAAAGGTACGTGCTTTAGGGCCAGGATGGTATCAAATTATAATTCCATTGTTTATTTGATGTATATCATGGCATATATCATCTATGTATTCTATGGCAGTAGTTCTCAACCTTTTCCCAGTTGTTCTGAATAAGGATTAAGGGTAATGATATATATTACTTACAGTTCCTACCCTATAAAATATTTTAGCTTGGCAATAACTAGAATAATGTATATTCATTATAAAAGAATCCATGGAGTTTTATGATTTTGTTAATTTGAAATTGAATTAGGCTACCTTATTCATCCAGGATTGGAGGGAGGGAATTAAAATAAGAGATACCTTAATTTTTAGTCCTTTTGGCTTTTTGATTTTTGTCTTGTATTAAATCATTTTTAATCATTTTGAGGCCCCCTGGTTGAGAACCACTATTCACCATATTCATGGTATTTAAATGCTACTTCAAGGCACAGAGAATAACATAGTATTACAATGGTGCATATACACAAAAAATAACATTACCAGATTTTAAACACCAGGATACTGCTAAGTGCTACATACTGGTCATTTATAAGTTCACTTACAAAGACAACAAAATAATTAATGCAGTAACAAAAACCTAAATGGCACTTATCAAAGCACCTGTGAATTAAATATATAACTATATAAATAATAAATATATCAGCCAGCAATAATGTACATTGTTTTAATCATCATACAACATTAAGGCAAAAGAAGAAACGATGAACTAGACACAGAACTGTCTTCAAATCACAGACTGAGTTTAAAATTAAACCGGGCAAAAGTAAAACAACTTTTCAGTCAGTGTGATTGTATAAGCCTTTAATCGTTATTCTCTGCTCTGTTAAACAGCTTCAACTGGACTCTCTCCAATAACAATGATCTGATCTTTGCTTTATGCACAGCTCACACCTTCATTGACTGTCTTTTATCCATTCATTCTGGCGGAACTCATCCACAAAGCATAATGAAATTAAGAGAACAATCACCACGGATCCTTCATTACAACTACATAATGTCAGTTCAAATAAAAGCACACAATGAAGCAATACAGAACGGTCAGAGGCACAGATATAAACAGATCTGCATCACGAATGAATGAAATTCACACACATACCATAACCTGTATCTGAACTAACTCAACAGAAAAGTCCCAAAAAACAAACAATTAAATAAAACAAATACAGAATTAGTTCATTGTCAACAGGAATTTGTTTGTTATACATCTACTCTTTCATGTCTTCCTTAGAACTGGACAATCATCACTGAACCATCCAACATTATATCTTAACAAATGTCAAGAAAAGATTCTTCAAAATGAATATCATTTGGTAACTATGATCTAATGCTGCGGAGATGCTGTGGTCGTGCTGTGGTGTGCTGAGTCCTAGCACACAATCAGCAGAACGTCTTCTGGGTAAATGATGTACCTGCAGTCTTTTGCGGCAATTCTGTTATTTGTAACCCTCTCCTGTTATGGTTTCCTTTCAGTGCGTCCCACTTTCTCTGAGCTTTGCTCGGTTTTTTTGCCAGTTTCTCTGATTTATGCTTCTCTGACTGAGCTTACGTTTCAGTCTGCTTCCCTAAGCTCCTGAAAAGCCACTTGAGGGTCCCCATCCGATAAGCAGATGGGTACAGGATTTTCCACACCTTGGGAATCACCATTTGCACCATAGCGCAAGTGTTGGAGACTCTCCTTGCTACAATTCCTCTCAGAGTTTGAGTATTTATTGTCAGTCTCATCACTGTCTCCCTGTGATCCCTGCTCCTCCTCCTGATGGGTCTCAGGAGAAGGCTGTTGCTCTGATGGAGGTGGGTTTTGGTGGGTCGGTGGAGCTTCATCTGCCGCAGCTTTCGGATTAGCCGAGGAGGGTTTGATGGAGGCATGGCACATGGGGCATGTCTCTTGCACATAAAGCCACTTTCTCAAACATGTGCCATGGAAGAAATGACCACAGTATGTGATCACCGCTGATGTCATGTCCTGCAGGTTAGAAAAAAATTACCATCATCATAGTGATGCAGTTTAATTTGTTTACTCAGAAGATACTGTTATCATTTATACTACTTATCAGATGTTTGGAATAATTCAGATTTTTGTTTTTGAAAAAAGTCCCGTTTGCTGTATTTATTTGATCAAAAATACAGTTTAAACGGTAGTGTTATGAAACTGTTTTCTACTTGAATATATTTAAAATGCTATTTATTCCTGTGCTGAATTTTCAGCATCACTACTCCAGTCTTCAATGTCTTTATTTTAAGGACCAATTCTCACTATTAACTAGTTGCTTATTAGCATGCATGTTACGAGCATATTTAGTAGTTATAAAGCACATATTAATGTCTTATTGTGCATGACCATATTTTAGATCCCCAAATCCTACCCCATACCTAAACCTAACAACTACCTTACTATTAATAAGCAGAAAACTAGAAGTTTATTGAGGGAAAACTCTTAGTTAATAGTGAATGTGTGTTCCCTATTCTAAAGTATTACCCTATTTATTAATTACGATTTTTTTTTTCAATGCTGAAAATAGTTTTTGCTGCTTAAGCCATGCTACATGTTTTTTTCAGGATTCTTTGATGAATAGATAGAACAAATGAACAGCATTTATTTGAAATAGAAAATATTTTGTAACATTATAAATGTCTTTACTGTCAATTCGATCAATTTAATGCATCCCTGCTAAATAAAAGTGTTTACCTCAAAGTGTATCAGTTTCCCCAAAAATATTAAGCAGCATGTTTTTTGAGCAGCAAATCAGCATATTAGAAGGATTTCTGAAGGATCATGTGACACTGAAGACTGGAGTAATGGCTGCTGAAAATTCATCACAGGAATAAATTACATTTTAAAATATATTAAAATAGAAAATATTTATTTTAAATTGTAATATTTCACATTATTCCTGTTTTTACTGTATGTTTGATCAAATAAATGGTGGTCTTGGTGAGCATAAGAGACTGCTTTCAAAACCCTTTTTTTTTAAAATCCTAATTACTTTTAATTACTGAACGGTATACACCCTTTTAAATATGAAAACATTCTCACAACTTCCACTAGCACATTTGAATATGTTGCAAGTCAAGGTCAAGAGGACAAAACTTGATGCTACACTAACTATTACATGCAGAACGCCTGCGCTTTGTGCTTGTTCTGACCTGGAAGCAGATGGCACAGACATCATTGTGGTCCTGCAGCTGCTCTGTGCTGGCCCGTGGAAGTACACTGATTTTGCGAGCAGCTTCCTGTCTAAGCAAGAAGCTTTTCCAGCCAGACTGAGCACGTAGCCACACATTGCAGTAGGAGTGGATGATAATGACCGACGCTCCCATCCAGCTCCACTCTCCCCATAGTGACTCCCACGCCCCATATGCCACCACACACACAGCCACTGCAAACTCCAGCACCCGACACACTCCATTCACGTAATAAAC